CAGGTGGATCCATGCTCTAGCTCCCAGAAAATTTTGAAATCAAGTGTCCCAGATTGGCTAAAAATGCATTTGCCATACAACAATTGTTACATCATTCTATAGTCTAATACATTTATACAATATCGCAAAACTATCGCACTATTAAGATGGTTGCACTTATAATTGCATTTCTGAGGTCATGGTGTTAATTTTCCTCTGAATTTCTCCTTTTATCTGAATTTTATTACAATTTTTTTCTTTCTTGGGGAAATATTTTCTGGGAACTCAAAAAAATTTCTGGGACCAATGGTCCCGTGGTCCGATACTTTTTCCACCCCTGAACAAGCTATCCCCTGGGGTTATAGACAGAGCAAAATACTATGATGGATGGAACAAGAGACACTGGCAGATAGTTTTTGTTAGCCCATATTAACTTTATCTCAACTATAGGAAAGCTCAAAACTATGAAGATGTATATGTACAGTGTACACTAAATTTGATTCAGGCCTTACTAAATGAATTTTATAAAATGAAACTATAACCTCACCTCAACAAAGTTTATGATGTCCAGTTTGCTCTTAGCAGGTTGACTTTTTGATTTGAAGAGTGAATTAAATGTTCTTCATTAGGTGAAGTACTTTCTGTAGAATTACATACATAAAAAAATAATATTAATTAAGTTACCGGTACATTTTTAATAAAAGCATTGTGATATTTTGTGAGCTAAAAAATGCAATTTTGATTTTTCATATCATTTATTAGTTACCGGTACAGCATAAACCAAAATGCAATTTTCATTTATTATTTTCTATTAACGACACCTAATGTCGGTGCTAATCAGGGGTGGAAAAAATATTTTACTTTCTGGGACCGCAAGAGAACATTGAACATTTTCTGTAAATAGTCAAGTAAATGGACATTTGGACACTGTAATTGTGTGACACTAACAAGTTGTCAAACTGGATGTCATGCTATATTTCACAGGAAAAAATATTTCACTGGAAATAATATTTCACTAAGAATCTTAAAATATAACATAAAACTGACATGCATCAAGGGTCTGATCCTAAGGGTAAATACAGATACCAAAAAAGCTAGGGCACTTTTAGGGGACACTATCAGGGAGATCATGCATGCTCCCCCCAAAAAGTTTGTCCCAGATCAACTAAAAATGCATTTGCCATACAACATTTTTTACATCGTTCTATAGTCTAATACATTTATACACTATCGCACTATTAAGATGGTTACACTTATAATTGCATTTCTGAGGTCATGGTGTGAATTTTCCTCTGAATTTCTCTTTTTATTTGAATTATTACAATTTTTCTTTCTTGGGAAAATATTTTCTGGGAACTCAAAAAATTTTCTGGGACCAATGGTCCCGTGGTCCGATACTTTTTCCACCCCTGGTGCTAATGAATCCAATGTTGGTACCGGTACTCTAATTAATAAAAAAACAAAATGATATCATTTAATTACCAGATCACTGTTCATGTGGTGGCTTCATAACTCCTTTTGAAATGCCATGATAGTAAATAAGTGGGTCCAATTGGTCAATCAGCTGCTGCTTTTCACAATTCCTCATGTATGCACTTTCTTCTGCTTCTTTGGATTGATTGAGGCTCCTCCGATCTTCTTCAACAACCTGCAGACATATTGATGAGTGATAATGTAAATTTTTTGAAAATAACCGCATACCTTATTCCAGAGTTTTTATAACCATGATACTGTAGCTCATATATACCTTACTCAGTAGTCAGTGGTATAACTTTACTTTTTTGACCATTTGTCATCAGGGCAAGTTCAACTTGCCAAGTTGGATATGAAAATTAGTTGCCGTGAATAAAATTCACTTGCCATGAGACAATGGCCACTGGGGTACCCAGGTAGGGGCTATAAATTAAGGGGACAACATGTCGACACATTCTTCCACTGCTCTAGATGGCTATGTTATACTGCTTCAGACTAGCTGTGGCCCACAGAAAAACAAAATTTGAATCCATGCACAAGTACAACATGCACTGCATAAAAAATTTATCTGGCAATGAAAACATAAACTTGAAGATGCCCAGCTTTTTGTGACAATGATATTCACTTGCCCCGGGCAAGTGTTAAATTACAACTGTGTTACTTATTGAAAGCATAATGATATAACTTGGCATCCTTAACCAATTAACCACCATCACTCTCCCACTCACAAATAAAATTGTCTGGCATTAGACAGGAATACAATAAAGGGTGCGATGCAACTTCATGGGTTAAAATTTGACATTTTGACTGTGGGACCATGATTTCTCGGACTCAAATTGACCATAATGACTCAAATTTTCCCATGAAAGGAAATAAGTAATTTATTTGTAATCATTCTATTATGTAGGATAGAGTTTATAACATGAGAAAGAATTTTTGCAGCAAAATCCATTAGATTGGTATAAAATGTAACGGCGATGGTGTTGGTATTTGTGATTTAATATGCTATTGCCTCATATTCCAGAAAACATTCATATGGTTATGATTTAACCTCAGTTGTATGTGAGATAAGTGCTACTTGTTTCAGTAACCCGTTGAGTGATGGCACTGACAGGTAAAATCATCTGACATTAGACGGAGTAAAACAATAAAGTTGTGGCACAATGCAGCTTATGCAATGTACGGCCTAGTGTAATATCCCGTTAACACCCCATCTCATCTAGCTTGCAATATGAACTCTATCGACTGTTTACGGTAAAGTGAATTATTCTACTTCTTTCTGGCCTAGGCAGGATCCCATTATTTGTTGCCGGGATTGCATCTGCCAGGACGAGAAATTCTTATACAAGCACTCTATCATCCCTGCCAGGCGGAGAGGCGGGGTGTATTCCGTCTATATATTAAACACACCATCCTGGATTAAAACCTCCTGTCCCATGCCATTATCACATAAACAGGCACAATATATCACACACATATATGCAGGGTTAGACATGAGTGAAGACACTGGCGTTAGACAGGTGAAAAAAAGTAGGGCGCACTGGGGCACATTCCAGCTCAATGCCAATGGGTTAAATATTAATTTAAAGTCAATCCATTTACATGCTATAAACCAAGAAATATGCACTGAACTGATAAGCTAATATTATAATCAATTCTATATATTGAGTTAACAATTTTATGATTCAGATAGATAACATTGTAATTGTAAGTTTAATACTCTCAAATAATTTTCATGTTTTGGCTAATAATAGGCTTGAAGCAATCAGCAAGTAAATATTATTCATATTCACATATTGTTTTATAATATACTATGTGGGTTCAAACATGCTTTCTCCAGTTTTGTCAACCAAGTGGCAAGTGTAACCCAGTATTTACTGTGTGTTTATTCAAAATTTGAATTGTTGATTTTAACTAATATTTGACGGAATTGAAATGAAATAATTCAATATATAAAACCTCTCGCGCGCAAATTCAAATTTAGCAATAGCAGACAGCCACAACAGGCTATAACAGCCACAAGATAAAATGAGTAAATACGGTCGATGTACGTTATAATTATACGATGTAAACAGTAATATTTCATACCTGAGATCAATAAGCCTTCGGCAGGATTCGGAGTCACTTATCCAGAACCAAATATGATAAAAAACACGATATTCTTGAGCGAAATATGCTCAAACGAAAAAGTCGAAAATTTGTAAATCACACTTGATACTTGATATACGATATCCCACAACTCATCGCGCGCGTGGCCCTTGTCTTCTAAAATGCATACACCAAAAAGCGCTCCCAATCTATCGCTAGCTTGAAACTATAGGAAGCATTTATAATCTGGCCAAAAAAATGATTATAAAAAAAATGATGAAAATTCTTATAAGCGAATAATGAGACAAATTTTCTAAAAAAATTATATGCCAATTGCAATAATATAAAATTTTTATCGTTTAACGTATCGCATGTCATAACATTTGACAGCATTAACCGTGATGTCATAACATGTCGGTGATATTTACGCAAAATCTTGGGTAAATTTACACTTCATTTTTTGCGGTGGATCATACCATCTTCATTAAAGCGTAGATAGACGATTGTTGCAAATGATTTGAATTCATATATAATTGTTATTTTTCAATAGCAGCAATTCATTGGGCATATTCAAATTCATTGATTGTGATATCCGCCATGTTGAAAATGCGACAATTCAGGACAGAGCCGTTCAGCTTCAAATTTGACAAAAAAGTGAAAGATATACAATATTACAACTAGGTTTATTCAATTCAATATCATATCTCGTTTTAGCCATGCAAAAGTTGCCAAAAGAAAGGTTTTGATATATGCGATAAATAATATTAAACTTTATTTCAAGATTGTTTTTCTAATTATAAGAATATTATTCTAGGATGGAAAAATGTTATTCTTAAAATAAGAAAAAAATTCTCTCGAATATTCTTGCCCAGTTATATTTTCTTATTTTAAGATTTTTGTTCTTAAAACTAGATTTTTTTTCTTGAAATATTTCTTGATAAGAAATATTTACTTAAAATAAGAAAAATAATCTAAAAAATAAGAATATTATTCTAGACTAGAATTTGATTTTTTGCAGTATAGTATAAATAATAATTATTCAGATTATTTATGGACTAGTTTTCACTATCCTTCGGAAAAAGTGTGCTTTTATAGTAGACCATGAAATAGCCCTTACACTAGTCCCTGAAAATCAAACCAGCTGATCTTCTGGGACTGGTCAAATCGATCCATGCAACCATGCTGTTTTGCAACATCTTTTTCCCACCAAATACTGGGGCAGGATATTTTTTCCCCCAGTTTGTTAGTGCAGGTATTTTTTTTGTTCAGAATAGCCTTGCAGGAAAAGTTTTTTTTCAAAATTACCCTTCCCCCCTCAAAAGTTAAATGGTCGGCCCCTAAGCCAACTGATACATTATATCGAACACCACAGCCTGCTAAACGGTAATATCACCAGCTGTCGTAAGTGACACCCGACAACTACTGTACTCTTGCGCATTAAAGACGTTATCGTAAAAGCGATGAAAAAGGGCGAGGTGACACTAATCGCCTTTGCAGACTTTTCCAGAGCTTTTGATACCGTTGACTATTCTGTTGCAGTACGGAAACTCCACGATATCGGTATGTCCAGAGCTGCCCTGAAGTGGATTGTGAATTACCTGTCTTTAAGGAAACAGTTTGTCCAAGTAAACGACAAACAATCTGAACTAGCGAAAGTGACGTTTGGCGTTCCACAAGGCTCAAGTTTAGGACCCTTCTTGTCAATGACATGCAGGACGGTTTACATGCAAGAAGGCTCTACCTGTTTTCGATATGCGTACGACACCACAATGTACCGCCACAGTACCCCAAAACATTTGGACGGCTGCGTACAAATGATGGATGATAGCCTGCACAGTATTGAGACATGGGCAACGAATAATAACATGTTACTAAATGAGAAGAAAACCAAATAGATGATTATCACAACTCCCCAGATGTCCAAAACACATTGTCTCGACGACCTTGTACCACCAAATGTTATAAAGAACAGAACGTTAAACAGAATTAGATCTTTTAAGTTGTTAGGAACATGGATAAGCGAAGACCTCAAATGGAAATATCACATAAATCAGGTCATATCTTCGTGTTACAAAATACTCGCCACTTTACGAAGAATAAAGAATACGACACCACAGAATAGCAAGAAAAATCTGGCCCAGAGTTCGGTACTTTCAAAATTAAATTTTAATGACTCCGTGGCATATCCCCTTCCTCGGTTCCTTCAAAAGAACCACTTTTGCTCAGAGAAGGATGTTCTTAAACTTGGCTAGCTTCCTACTCTAGAGAACACACAATACAGCGTCTAAAACAAGCACACAAGGGCCTCTGCAGTGAATCGTGGCCAGATTACCTGCAGCTAGATTCTTAGGCACAATCATATATATATATATATATATATATATATATATATATATATATATATATATATATATATATATATATATATTATATATATTATAATTTGGAATTTCGTGACAAAATAAATCATTGGCAAAAATTATCAAATATAAATTACCACTATATTTACCTCTTCATAAATCTTCCATTTATTTTCAATTGTATGACTTCTGAGTTGTCCAACAGTACTCTCACGTAATGAGTTGTCCAGAACAAACAATTTCTTTTCACGAAGTATTTCTTGTTTCAGCTCAGCTTTCTTCTCGTACTTCTTCAGTTTCTTTAACTTTGCATGAAGGAACATCATGAAGATCTAACAAGAAATTAAAATAAAAGCTCTTGAGATTATTTTGGAGAGTGAAGTCTATAATCGTGACCAATTGTTTGTGGAACGCGCGGTAATATTATAAGCACAGCATGAGCTCCACCTTTGAATTTACCATATGAGTAAATTCTTAAACACGTCATTCTTCTAAATTCTTAAACATTTATCATTATGATAAATTCGCGGCACATTTTGAATTTATCATAATAATAAATTCGCGGCACCTAACACTAACCCCAACCCTAACCAATAACATGCACTAACCACTAACCCTAACTTTTTTAACTTTTTAAAATTTTTTAACTTTTTAAACTTTTTTTGCTTTTTAAAACTTTTTTAAAACTTTTTTAAACTATTTTTTTGAAAATCAAATGTAAAAAAATGTTATCAGCAAAAATATGTCGAATTTTCCATTAGTTATATAATACATTATTTGCAAACAATCTTTGTATTCTGAATAAATAATCCATAGATTATTTATAAACAATATATGGATTATATTTACAAACCATCCTGGGATTATTTAGTACGATCTTAAACAATCCCTTCATTATTTATAAACCATCCATAGATTATTTACAAAAAAATAAATAATCCAGGGATGGTTTATAAACCATGAATAAATTGTGGCGCCCCATAGACAAAAAGAATGAAATGCGGATGGCGCAATGAAATGCGTAACAAAATTGTTTAATGAAAGCATTTAAAAAATAAAAAGTAAGAACTTTCACGGTGTTTGGACGCGCTGCTTGAACTCTTCATGATACAAAAAATACGTTAATTAAAATCATAATGAACCTGTTGTTTATCATTAACATCAAAGCGTTGAAAATATGAATCCGAAAAACATCCGATTTTCATAGCCTCAACTGCAAGGGTTCGTTCGTGTTTGGTTCGCCTTCATCACCGTTTTGCTTTATCATTGCTTTAAGAATATATGTTCCTTATTCCGCAGACAAAGGTCACCGTACAGGGTAAGTTTCCGAGCGATCGGCAATTTTCAATGCATGATTGTTTTATTTTACTTTTTAAATTAGATATACACACTCAACTAAATGCCGGCTAGTCCTTTTCTGAAAATATGCAACATAGTGATAGAAGGAAAAGAAATCACTCAGCACAACATACAATACTATGAGGCAACTCTAGCTTTTTATAGGTTATGCGTGCAGGGGGAATGGGAAGTAAGGTATCATATTGCTGATTATGCTGAAAAAATAAAAATGGAGGCCGTGTAAACACGGATTGATAGCTTATACTTGTAAATATTGAAATATTTCTGTTGTCTCGGCAATTTTTATTGAAATGTTTCAGCATAATCAGCAATATGATACCTTACTTCCCGTCACTCCCTGCGCGCATAAGTTAAAAGCTGGAATTGCCTATTGGCTAGCCTAGGGCTGGTACCATTGGAATGAATATAACTGGAACGCTACCTTCAGATAAATCTTTTTCTTGAAGCCAAATTAATCTTACCTCCAGACACGCGAGTCTGGACCTCTTAAAAATTATGAAACATTACAAAGAAATCTATGGACTTTGAACAAACGGTTTGTCAGATAATATTGCTTGTCATGTGGAAAGAGTTGAAAAATTACTGCTTCAGGTCTTCAGGAGAACTTAAATTTGCTACAACACATTCCTGTGCAATCTGAACTACACCTAGTTGTGTAACAGTGCAGCTGAAAAAAGAACTTGTATAAATTGACAATAATTTGATGTTTTGTATGTTACTCTGAGTGTATATCCACACCGGGCAGGCTAAAAAGTTAGTCTGACCATGGTGAGAATCGAACCCGCAACCTTTGGGACACTAGTACAATGCTCTGCTAACTGCATAATACACTCAGAGTAACATCAAAAACAATATTCACCTGAGTACCTGTACATATAAACACCCAAACAACACATTCTTAATAAGAAAATTCTTTTTTATAAAAAATTCTTGATTTGAGAAATTATTTTCTTAAAATAAGAAATTATTTTCTTATTTTAAGAAAATTTTCTTATTTCAAGAACTTTTTTTCTTGGGAGAATAACAAGAAAATTTTCTTAATAAGAAAATTCATTTTAAGAAAAATTTCTTGTTTTGAGAAATTATTTTCTTAAAATAAGAAATTATTTTCTTATTTTAAGAAAATTTTCTTATTTCAAGAATTTTTTTTCTTGGGAGAATAACAAGAAAATTTTCTTAATAAGAAAATTCTTTTTAAGAAAAATTTCTTGTTTTGAGAAATTATTTTCTTAAGGCCCGTTTCATACGCCGTACTTCACGTGTGCCGAATACATTAAAAACAATAGATAATGAGGCATTTCAGCTCATTATCTATTGTCTTTAATGTATTCGGCACATGTGAAGTACGACGTATGAAACGGGCCTAAAATAAGAAATTATTTTCTTATTTTAAGAAAGTTTCTTATTTCAAGAAAACTTTTTTCTTGGGAGAATAACAAGAAAATTTTCTTATTAAGAAAAAAATTTTCTTGATTTGAGAAAATATTTCCTTAAAATGAGAAAATATTTTCTCAATTTAAGAATTTCTCTCAAGAAAATTTTCTTAATAAGAAAAATCTTCTTAAGAAAATTTTCTTATTAATTTAAGAAAATTTTCTTGTTATTCTCCCAAGAAAATATTTTCTTATTTCAAGAAAATTTTCTTAAAACAAGTTGTTTTTTTCTTAAAATTAGAAAATGACAAGGGTGGGTTGACTACAAAATTTTTGTAGTTCGCTATAACTACAGCTACTTCAAAAATATGTAGTCAGCTACAACTACTGCTACTTTTGAACAAAGGTAGTTCGCTACTGACTACAGCTACTGCTTAAAAAATGTAGGGAACTATTTCGCTATTTCGCTACGCTATATTTTTTAGTTTTATTGTATTTGGAGCATCTACTAGCTCAGGCTGAATTGTTTAAAATATTGAGTATTGATTTTAAGCAAACTGTGTCTCAATATACGTTATTCTATCAAGGTGCTAACAATTTCAAAAAGTAGCGAATAGCGATTCGCTGTTTGAAAAGTAGTCAACTACTTGGCTACTTTTAGGCAAAATGTAGTTCGCTATAACTACAGCTACTGTTTTAAAAAAGTAGTTAAAAACTACTGGCTACTTGAAAATTGTAGTTCGCTACAGTAGCGAACTACAACTACTTCGCTACTACCCACCCTTGGAAAATGATTATAGCATACACAACACAACTAATATATAAGGCTGTTTCCCCCCAAAAAAGTCATTTTGGGAAATGCAAAGATAGCTTGGAACACGTTAACACACACAACTTTTCCTAGTGGTCTCCTATTTTCTTTTCTTTAAAGAAATGAGAAATAAATTATGTACTCTTTAATAAACAAGCAGGAGTGTTTTATTATGTTTAAAGACACGAGCGCGCAGCGCGAGCGGCTTTAGACATAATAAAACACGACCTGCGAGTTTATTAAACGGCTTGAGCACGACTACAAATTCAATAGATATGCTGCCTATTAGTATTCTTTATATAAAGAATACTAACGC